AAAAAAAAGTCAAAAAAAGCCAGTCATCTGAATCCTCATCACAAAAACAAACAAACAGATCTTCAAAGCCCTGTAGATGCTTCATGGGCTCAGAAAGATGTCTAAAGATTGGGCTGGCAAATGAAAGCCCAACCAGGCTTAAGGACAAAATAATACAGACTAAGTAATGTACACTAAAATAACTATTTTACATGGTCCATCTATTACTCAATGGCAGGCGCTCCTCTGTTTTATTACAGCAAGGCTTTGGAAACATTGATGGAGAGTACTGGCTGGGTCTGGAGAACATATACTGGATAACCAACCAGGGGAACTACAAGCTGCTGGTCACCTTGGAGGACTGGTCTGGACGCAAGACATTTGCCGAGTACGCAAGTTTCCGCCTTGAGCCTGAGACGGACTTCTACAGGCTCAAGGTGGGCCGTTATCATGGCAATGCCGGTGACTCCCTAACTTGGCACAACGGGAAGCAGTTCACCACTCTTGACAGGGATCATGATGTATATACAGGTATCAGTCAATCAAATATATATTGTCCTATTTTTTCTATAATTTATATATATAAATTAATATATAAAATGTTTCATCTCAGGCAACTGTGCACACTATCAAAAAGGAGGCTGGTGGTATAATGCCTGTGCCCACTCAAATCTGAACGGCGTGTGGTACAGGGGAGGGCACTACCGCAGCCGCTATCAGGATGGCGTGTACTGGGCTGAATTCAGAGGAGGCGCCTATTCCCTCAAGAAGGTCGTGATGATGATACGACCCAACCCGAACACCTTCCACTGAGAAGCACATAAAAACAGGGAATGAACTGGTCGCCATCCACCCTATAAAGTGCAATTTCTTTAGACTGGTTTTTAAATTGTTTTGCTTCCTACATAGATATGATAGCAAAAGAACAAACAGGGTCTTGGTTGACGTAACTGAGAAGGAACACCAATTTATCAGAGACTACAAAAGGGAGCTCTATTAAGTGCTATTTATATCCATTATCACTGAAAATGAAGTGTCTGATGACTTGGCCTGTTTTCAATGAGTCTCCAGGAAGTCATCTAAAATAAAAAATATATATAATGAAAATGATGTGCGTTTCCACTCTAGTTCAATCAAATCAAATGAAACCTGTTCATCTTTAGATATTTAGTGCAATTGTGAATCTGTTGTCTGTTAGATTGCTTTTGTTAAATATGTAAAATAACTGATTAGTACTCATTCGTTGTTACAAATAAGACACAGGACATCCAATCCAGTGATAAAAAGCTTACGCATCCCTAGTTTATTCGAAGCTAAGAGAATATATGTTTCCTGATGATATGAACAACTCATAATTTATTTCAGGGATATCATTTTTAAAATTCATATAAAGGTTGCAGTGTCAAATAATGCACAATTAAACATCTTAAAACAGTCATCGGTTTCTCAATCTAAACTGTATTTACTGTGTAAATTAGCTGCTGGTGTCAAATGAAGACCCAACACATTTATGTACATATACACGTAATATTGTTGAAAATAATGTGTAATTTGTAATATACTGTAAGTGTAACATTTCCCCTAGTATTGTCATACTGTTGCAATAAAAGATGTACAGCCATGTGTTTTGTCCGTGAATGGATTAAAAATCAATCTGCTACAGCTGCAGTTCTACTGAGAAAGTTTATGTGCCAAAGTAAAGGGAAAAGCCACAAATAATTAATTCAAAAATGCAACAAAACAACAAAATAGCTCTTTTACCGTATAATAAATGGGGTCACACTTTGGTTTAGGGCCCAATTATATCTATTAAGTAAGATTTATGCCTCAATAAACTCCTGATTACTGCATATTTATATTTAGTAAGGTAGTTGTAAGTAATGGGATTGGGAAGGATTATAGGAAGTAGAAAATGGTCATGCAGAGAATAAGACATTACTTCATAAGTACTAATAAACAGCCAACATTCTAGTAATATGCATGCTAACAAGCAACTAGGTAATAGTGAGAATTGAACTCTAAACTAAAGTGTTATCATAAATGTTGTATATATACAGCCCATTCTCACTCCCAAGGCGTCACCTAACTGACGCCTTGGGAAGCATTTGACCATGCTTCAATATCTGACGCTTTAGGCTCCCTTTAGCGTCAGTTAGATGACGCCCTAGGATCGCGTGTACCCTACCCCCACCCCATACCTAAACCTAACCGCGTCCTCTAACTGACGCTTTCCTTTAGCGTCAGTTAGATGACGCCGTAGGATCGCGTCATGTAAGTGACGCTAAAGGGCGCCTAAAACGTCAAATATTGAAGCATGGTCAAAGGTGACGCCTTGGGGTGAGAATGCGTTGATATATATATGAAGAGTTCAGATGCAAAAGCCTCTAAGTGCCATTTGAAATTTTCTTCTAGAATGATCATTTTTATCAAGCTTGTATATTTAAGTTCAGTGATTTCACTTAAATGGCAATGAAGATTACCTATTAATTGTTATTTAAGTGAAATTACTGAACTTAAATATACAAGTTTGATAAAAATCATCATTAAAGAAGAAAATTTCAAATGGCATTTAGAGGCTTTTGCATCTGAACTCTTTATATATATATATATATATATATATATATACATATACACATTCCACTCAGATTATGTATCTGTGGCTTGTAGCAAATAATTTTAGTATAATAATGTACTTGTCCTGTCTATGGTATTACACTTGGGAAGTCAATGGAAGTCAAAGAGGTGATAGTATTTTAGGGTTTATAACCAGAAATAAGAATATTTTGGTCTACATGAAATATATATTTAAAAAATATATATTTTATCTCCAGGTCATTAGATCTAGAATTCTATGCATTCTAATTCAGAGTAGTTTAATACATTTACATTTATTTTAATGAATCAACATACATATTGCTTTTACTGAAAAAAAAAGGTTCATTATCCAGCGTCAATTGTGTATGATGTATGAATTACAGCTCTTACTTTTAAGCCATTTTCAAATCAAGGAAAATGTGTGTGACCTACTTGAACCCATTGCAATATATGCACAGGTAAAACTTTCACCCCCACGCAAAATTCACAAGTGCATTGATTCGTATAGAAATTACTGGGTTTCGCCCAGCAAAAAGTCACCAAAGAGCGGTAAATGTGAAACTGTTGGAAAAAGCTTTACAAATAATTGGAAAGCAATTGGATCTGAGTCCTCAAGCTTCATTAAGGCTAATAGTTGTAAAACTCCACATTTCCATTATTAGGGGAGTTATGGCTAGACTCCCTAAACAGAATCATTATTTTGTTTAACTTCATGTAGTGCAGCCTTCCAATAGACTTCTATTCTAAATGTAAAGCAGGATATACCTGAGGTAGCAATCAACTAGTCATATTTCTTTGTGGAACTCGAATAACATCTGATATTTCTATCTTCTATTAGGAGTGTTTGTTAACTAAATTAACAGGAAAACAAAAACGTTACGCAGTCAAAAAAACTGTTTTACTTCAAACAGCTCAAAAGCCAAAATTCATATAATATTACTCATTATTCCAATTTATTAATTTATATAAAGAAATAAATAACCGGGTCTAAGAATACCTTTTTTGGTACAAACTGAAGATATGAACTCTTTTTTTTTGTATTAAAACTAATAACACAAGTTCTATTGCATGAAAAAGCATGAAAACAAAATCCCAAACCCTTTCATTTCCTTTTTCCTTTGTCCCAATGGGAAATGGAATGGGCCACTGGAGAAGCGCAGTGGAAACTGACAGATTTGAAGTGACAGCCTGCACAACCTCAGCCACGTCAGACAGTCTTTCCATCCCTGCGGTTTCAACTGCTTGCTGCTCAGAAATGGGAATATGTTACCGGAGTTCCCTGCAACTGAACCACAAGGTACCGGCACCAGGTACAGTGGTTTCTTTTTCGAGCCATGTGATGAGTGGGACGTAGTTTACAGACACTCTGCCCAAGTGGAAGCAGACACTCAGTGTGGATTATGTAAAGGAAATTCAGTTAATGAGAAAGATGTGTGCGGCTGGGACGGCATGCGTCAGCTCTATCCACATGTTTACCTTCTTAAAAATTGCAGTGACTGTATGTTTGTGCATTTCAGACCTCTAGAAATGAACCAGCCCACAAGTTACAGACCAAGAGATAATTTGAGTTACAGCCGGCTGAAGTTATTTCTGAACGGTCTAATAGTTATTCGCATACCACAATGACACAAGAGCACCTGGAAAATTGTGACCATGAGCTCGGGCCTCAAGCATGTGGCAATGACGTACGGTCAGTGTTGTGCAGTTCAAAATCTAACAACCTCATCTTAAAAAGTGCATCTCGTAAAATAAGACCGCCAAACATCCAAAACGCCTCCTAAACATAAAGCCACAAGATCCCTTTCTGATTAGATCGGGCTCTCGGCTAACAGCTGGATTAGTCATCCAGACATCACTGCTGATAAATAAGATGGAAGAGAGTAATTGAGTGAAAGATCTGGACCGTGTTGGACAATCCTGAGGGAGGTATCCATTTCCAAGTGCTGTCAGTGCCTTTAGAGAAGACTGATGTGTGTATAAATAATTCCTCACTGGGCTTCTGCAACATCCATGGGAGTCTTGGACAAAAGTCTTTTCATGAGAGAGAAAAAGCGGCTACCAATGTACCAATCTGGATTTCAATATGATTTAATTGTAATTGCCATCTTACAAAAATGGTCAGGAAGTCACGGAGCTTTTAAGTTCATGGATTGCGCAGTGGTATTTCTATTGCAAATACAGAATATTTGAGCATTAGCAGAAATCCTAAAACCCCATGAAATAGTTTGACGAATGTCATTTTCTTTACTGCATTGATACCTAAAACAGGACATGACATATTTCTCAATCATTCCTGAACTGGAGAGGTGTATTGATATGCCCTCTGTTGGACACTGAAGAATGTGCAGATGAGACAAGGCCAAAAAAATAATAATCTATATATGACAATATGACTGAATATTGTCATGACTTTTATTAACACTCACCTAGGTAGGGGATGCAGGGAGCCATTTTGAGGGATCTGGTGTACTCTCTCATACGGTTGTAATTCTCTTCCTTTGACGTCAGAAAGTCAAGCTTCTCAAAGGTGGCCTTGTCCTTTCGACTGATCAACTGTTAAGAACAGAAAGAAAACAAGAAACAAACAGTTCATTGAATCAGCAAATTAACAACACCGAAATGGCTAATTCTCAAGTGTGAAATAGAAATCAGAGGTATTTAAAGTCTGAGTGAAGGATAATAACAAAAAAGGAATGAATAAAAGGTAAAAACATTTTTTTTATTATACAAGTGTATCCAAAGGCAACAAAAATTATTATTGTTGTTGTCAAATATTTGTTTTATGTTAGTTAGCTCTGTTAATTAATTTAAATAAAAAGATGATCCATATTTTAATTAATATCAATTTAAAATCTATTTAAATTTATTAAAACTCACATCAATAAGAAAACTTTTCCAGTTTTGCCTTTGAATAAAATTTTAAATAAAATTTAATGTATTAATTAATATTTTTTACTTGGCAAGTTTATGATCTTTTTCTAATATTTGAATGAATTAATAGAGGTATCTGAGATGAAAAACATTTGCCAATAAATATATTAATACTCATTATTTATTAACAAATTATTATTATTACTTAAAAAAAAAAAATTATCTCAGCTCTGCCTCATTCACTTAAATAAACTTGTAAAATAAACATAGTTGCTCCCCATTGGGCCAGTAACTTTAGTAGGGGTACTTGGGGAGGCGCCGTTTTGTGAATTTTGTCAGAGGGGAGTCCCACTCAGTCTTCTGATCTAAATAAAGCTGTCTGCAAATATGATAAATATGAAAAACAAGAAACCCTATTGGGAGACTAGTGAAATTCTATTAAGAAAAAAGTTCCCAGAGCTCAAACTCCAGATATACAAACATATGCCATCGGCACTGGGCATATTTCTTATTTATGGAAAGCACATGATCACATGAAACAGGCTCGGTGTATAAAAGGTCTTTATGAGTGGCATAAATTCACCCAACGCTTCCTTGCAGCACATGTGCTATTGAAAAACATCAGTAGGGATGACCATGTGCAAAACCCCTGTTAGGATTAACGAAATGCTCATTAACTCAAAAATTCCATCACCCATGCCATGGCTTTATCACATCAAGTGCTGCACAAAGTACTTCAACATGTTCCTCTGGTATTAGACAAATACACATACTACCATCCAGTCTGTTCACACTTTCGTAGGTTTAGACAGAGAGGAGATTTTGTTCAAACAATGTAAGCAACAGATTTCACTTTCACTGTATTGAAAAAAAACCCCAGCAAGGAATAAATGCCCAAAGAAAAGGCGAGTAAATGATGCTATAGTTTTCAGTTTTGGGTGAACTACTCCTTTAAATAATGAAACAGGGAGAAAACGAATTCTACCTTACCTGTATGAAATGGTATTGATAGTTGAACGTTATGCATCATGCATCCCCAAAACACTAAATGACTGTGACAGATTCATTTACAAGCCGAGTTGCTCCAATCAACATGACTTTTAGATACATTTATTTTACAACAGCTTCATACTCAAGCAATACAGTTGGGGAGTGGAAACCATTTAGAAGTTGGCCTAAAATTAACCTGACGAATTTAATGAACCACAACTTGGATTCTTCTCCTTGCAACAGAGAAACAGAAAAGTGATTTTTCCCCTACTTCTTTTATTTGCCAAAGGAAGCAGTAGGATTTTATTTGATTTTAAACAGTGCTGGGATAATCCATGACAGGGAAGTTACATCGCAATACCATCAATCAGGGAGCCTAGTGTGGAAATAATAATATTATGACAAAGATTTGAAGAAGTACTGCGAGTTAAGTGAGATTTGCTTGTGATATTTTAAGGAAAAACTAATTACATAGCTATGATGAACATGGATGGATAAATGAATTATAAGTGCACCGGGATTTCAGTCAATGTGATTTCCATGTGTGTGTACCATCTCAGCAGCTACTCTAGTAATTTTCTGTCTGAGCTTGAGCAATCAAATGGCAAAAACAAAAGCTTTTTCTGATCTTCTTTATCAAGCCTTCATCACCCAGCAGCACAGGGACTTGAGAACATGCCACACTGGCATTACTCATTTCCATAGATACAGTGCTAAACAATCCCTTTCAAGGGCGATCAAAGTGAGGGGATTCCTTCAACCACTAACATCTTTATTTTATTTTGCAGTAACACATGACTGACTTTGATTACAGTAATTCATGAAGGCCATTACTGTGCTTTAGCAGTTAAAGCCTCCATACATCAAAAGCTGTAAATGAGCATTCAGAATAACTGTGGATGTGGGTCTTAGCTGTAGGTGCAGTATAAAAAATATTTTAGAACTGGAAATAGAGTGGGAACAGGGGATCAATTAAAAGTTAATGGAAGCAGGACAAAGAATTGTGCAAGAAAAAAAAGGATGGGAAAAGAAATGAAACGGTAGTATGTACTATGTTCCAATCCCATATAAAATTAATGGCCAACTGGTTTTATTGATTAGCCAAAGCCAAGTTTTGACTTGTATTTGGCAGTTGGCGAGTGTTGCAACACTGAGAGGATGCTGGGATACATACTCTGGAATCAAGGGGCCACCTGTCTTCACTGTATATAAGCTCGGCTTTCTCCATTTTATCTTTTTACCAAAAGCTTTACATCTTCCTTTCTTTCAGTGAATTTGCTCACAAATTACTATTTTACTTCCCTTCTCCAGTATCGTTCCTCTTGATGCTTGTCTCATCTTAATACTCCCAGACTGTATACAGTGGGCTCTCAAAGTCTCTGAGACTTCTACTGAAAATGATGCATATATTTAGCATAATTTATCATGAACCATATTATAGGAATAAAGAAATAAATTAATGTGTTCAAAAGATTTGAAGGGGACTAGGGAGTAAATGACAAAATTATTAAATAAATCATGAATTTATGTTAAAAGTGAAATAAAAAATTAAAAAATCCACAAGATTTCTCAAACACCACAAATATGTATTAAACCCGATCATGTTATCCAAAATGATTAGAGATGATCTAAAAAGCATTTGAATGTCTTTACAAAGAATCACATGATTAATGTCACAAAACTATTTAATCAGTGACCAACAAATAGTGCTGAAATATTAGTTGTTTTTTTTTTTTTTTTTTTTTTTTTACAATTAATGTCATAACCTGAACTTTCCTTTTGTTTTAAAATTTTCAAAATCCTAAAACTTTGATTAAATCTGCTCTAAAACAAATTTTCAAGTGTTTCAAGACTTATGAACCCCACTATAATGCATTTCTATTTACGTTTAATTTCATTGCATAAAGCAGACTTATAAACAGACTTATAAACCTAAAAGTGCTGAAAATAATGATAGTCATTTCAAATCTGTATCTTCGTATATAATGTGCTCCAAAATGTATACCAGTGAGCACCGTATTTGTCCTAATTCATTGCATGCCTACTGGGAAATCAGCAGTTAATCTTCAAATAAGTGGAAACATGGCCTTGAAGTCAAGCGGTTCAGAAATTGGCTGGAACAAATGACATAAAGAATTACTCACTCCAGTCTGTGCCATGGGCAGTGAAACATAAACCATTTGCACAGCAAAACTGAAAACAGTCATTATAGTCAGGCAGAACTGTCAGCAAATATACGCAAGTGTCTCTTCATTATGAACAGGACAACAGATGAAATGCTTCAATCTATAATTAAGACCGGACCATAGTTCAAATGTGCAGATTTTCTCGAATACAAGCTTCAGGGTTCTGGGACGCATGGAAAAGAAACCTCTTAAAACAGGGCTGCAATGAATCAAAATGTATCCCTGTAGCTGGTGCAGGCACACGGTGTCTGGCAATGTGACATGCCTGTCTTTAGTGAGACTTGAAGCATTATGTGATGCAAGGAACACTGATTAAGGTCTGTGACCTGGCAATGATCCATCTACCTCACAGTACTCATAATACTCAACAATCGTGTGATCCTACAGTATGAACTGCTGTGACTGTTACACAAAGCAAGTCTTTGCAATAATTCAGTAATCAATAATTCAGCCACAATCCAAAAAAAAAAAATAATAATAATAAAAATGGGACAGCAAGGAATAGGTTATAATCTAAAACAACTCAAATACACACTCACACTCACACACATGGCAAATTGAGTCAGATCACTCAAATAAGATATTAAAATGCTAGTTTATACATTTTAATATAATTTTGATTTTATGTGTAACAAAATGTCTTTCTCCTTGTTCAGGTTTGACTGTAATAAAATTAATGCAAAAACTGACACTTCAAATCAACCTAAAAAAAAAAAAAAAAAAAAAAAAAAAACAAACCCTAAAATGTAGTCTTTCATTATGTCTAAATATATATCCAAATCCACAACTTAATACAAATAAGTGTTTATGTCTAAAAACAACTAGAGATGCTTTTTATCTATTCTAGAGCTATATAGGAACCTAGTGGTTGCACCAGGGCATTACACAAGTATTCATTTTTTTACTCTCACCAGATGGCACTAATCTGACTTCCAAAATTGGATTATAATAACATTTTCTCTATTTTAACAAGAAATACAGCTTCATTGAAATGAACCATACTTTTTTTTTTTTTACTATTTTCAATGAAAAAAAAAGTAATATAGTAATATGTAGTATATATTATATTGATTTGATTGAAAATAAAAGTTACATTTCATGTGTTCAGCATTGAGACAATAGCAGCAGATCCTTTAAGTTCTGTAGGTTGTGAGGTAGAGCCACGGTGGAACAAACGTGTTGGTCCAACACATCCAGGGCTTAAAGCGGTCCGGAACGTCCAGAACTGCATTCTGACACCTCAGATAAAATAATAAATACTTAAGACTTATTAATCTCAACGAACCTCCCTGGTCCCGAGATGGGCTGACTGTCCGACCAACCTCCCTTCCACTGAACGTGAGCGATTACTGATGTGTGAAATGCACTCATGGTGGTTGAGCGCAGTAAAGTTAGTTTTAGGTTGGATAGTTGCTGCATATTTGTTTACCCTTGCCACTGTTCAATAGGATTGGCAGTCTAACAAATATATCAATAGTGAGATTACCTGATATTAGAATAGCAAAA